TATAATATTCGCTACTAAAAAAAAATTCTTTTGGATAAATGGGTGTGTAGTTTAGGACGAAAAATACGTTAAAAACAACTTAAAATATATTTTAAATTATAAATTACACTAAAAACACATAAAATAACACCAAAAATACTCAATATTCGGCTTAAATGGATGAAAATTAGATAAATTACGGAATAAATCGAATCCGATGATTAATACAGATTAAGAATTAATGCCGATCCATCATAGATGAATAAGTAAGAATTAATACGATAAAAAATGCTTAAATAATATAAGAAAATGAATATAAAATAAGAAAAATATTCAAAATTCTACACCATTTTACATCCGAAAGCTCTCGTTAGGCTTAACATACCATCTAGTATTTTAAGCATTTTTTATCGATTTTTAATGTTCTAGAAAGCCTGAACGAAATCGGATTATATATAAACATTTATTTTAACATTAAACTATGAAAGTTTGTAGATTTCACAATTAAATTCCGTTCTAACTCACCGTCTATTCTTCCCCCACTCTGAAGCCCGGTACCGCGATACCGATAGGGCGCGGCAAAGCTCGTCTGTCAACTAATACGCCACCCTACTAAAAGCAAAAATATAATTTAATTTTTGTAATTATATAATAGTTATAAAATACGTGGAGTTATTATTAATAATAACGATGTTGTGTAATTTATATTTAAGTTATAAACATTTATTTATTTAATTTGAATTTTATAAATATTTATTCTACGTTAGAGGGGGGGTGGCAAAAGTGAATACACTTACTCACTGTTAAACCTGATTATTTTCTTAATAATTTTAAACTAATTGACAATTCTTTTCGATATTATTAATTATAGTAAAATAGTAAATATAAAAATTAGTTTTAATTAGTTAATTTAATAATATTTATAAATTGTTTAATTTTGTCACGTGCTTACCTGCCAAATTACTGGAAGGAGAGCCTAAATCTCACGTGATGTCTCACTTAGCCAATAAGCCGCCAAAAAGATATTATAGTAATGTACTCGTGACGCAACAGAAATTTGACCAATAACGTATGGGTTTACATTGATTCTTGACCGATTCCGAAATGAACAACCAATCAAAATATGTCTTCTTTCATTCGGATGTATTGTATTAGGCTGCCGCCATCTTAGTGAATTGGAAGGATTAGTTTAGTCTAAAAAAGTTATTCGAAGTTTATCGTTTATAGGTGTTGATGTTTCGATCGTAAGCGAACAAAATGCCGTTATACTTTCAACGACCGGAAAATGCTCTTAAAAGAGCAAGCGGTAAATATTTTATTAAATATTCATTGTTTGCTAATTCCTAGTTAAGATTCTTTGTAAATCATTCTCAAAATCTCATTATCACATATATAAATATGTTATATAGAATCTATAATATATTTGATTGTATTAATTATAAATGTTGAGTCGATAAGATCAACGGAGAAGCTAAAACGAAGATTCCATCTGTTCCTATTATGCCACGTGATGCAGTTAGTTTCTTCTATGTGTTATATCTAAAAGTATAAATTCTTTATACAGACACCATCTGGAATAAATAATATTTAACTTAATGGTCAGGCTGAATTTGTTGAAGAACATAAATAAGTTTCATTAAAAATCTGTCTGCTTATTTTCATAATTAAAATCAAATTTAAAGTGATATTTAGATTCTGTCTTCTTAATAAAGCAAAATTTACTTTCTTCATCTAGATTATACATTTGTCTTTAATTCTTACATCCTAATTACTAATCACAGATACAGGTCTAAAGTAATGCGCATATGTGAAATAAATATAGAAACCAGATGAAGGATTCGGATGTAAAAGGTGATGACAAAAATTCACTTTTTAAATTGTTTTTACTGAAAGTTAGTTAGGTCTACCTAACATTCATTTTGTGAAATAATCTGAAAATCAATTTATGTTCTTAAAAGGACAGTGAAGTCAGAGATGTAAGCCATGCTGACAAATGATAAAGGAATCCTTATTTGCTTTTTCTCAAAAGTAAGTTTATGTGGGTTATCAACTTTTATGCTCAAACCCTTCAAGTGATAAGAGTAAATATATCTCTGAATGAGGCAGTTGGGACCTTAGCACTTAGCAGAGCTGTAGACCATGCCTATCGGAGTACAAAAGTCAAAGGAATCAACAGTTTACGTGTGATATAGCCTCCTGAAGTTGGCCTGTTAGGAATTTTGAAGACTCAGAAATGGGGTAAAATTTAAAAGTGAAAAAATCCAGAACTATTTTTCGAAACAATACTAAAAATTAACTGTTTTCTGCTTTACTAGAGATGGCAAAAAACTCTTAAAATGTGAGAAACAACATTGCCCCTTTACTTCTGGAGTACTATCAGTCATGCTTGACATTCCATTAAAGCCTATTGTATGTTTAACAAGTAGTCTGGTCAAATATCTCATCAAGGATTACTATTGGAGATAGTTCTTTTGACTTTTTAGTCATTTAGAGTCGTGGTTCTCAAACTGTGGTAAGTGATTAATGGCCATCCCAAGCTTTTCTCCCCTCAACCTTTATTGCTGAATGGGTTTGTCAAATTATGACAATATCAATGATGAGCAAGTGGATTCATCCTGTGTCTGTCCCAAGCGACAATTTCTCTTTGAATTTACACATACAGTCCACAAGAAATGTGTCTAAGCTGCATCAAGAGCACTGGTAGGAGGAAAGGCAAGTGGTGGGGAGAATGATCTTGCATTTTTTATGTGGCTGGCTTAACTATAGCCGAAGATCAGGAAGATTATGGATGGTCTATTAGTACATTCCCAGCCTACAGTGTTTTTCCACAGTCTCCACATCATTGCAGCAGGCTGTTGTGGCTAATATCCTCACTCCTGCTATTTTTCTTTGCTTTCTTCAACAAATCACTCTGTAATGTATAAGGTGAAACAATATAATTGTGATTTGTGAATCACAAATAGTTTGTGAAATAATTTTTCTATATACAACATGGCATTTTGGCATCTCTAAGATGGGTGGATGACTAAAAACTGGGTCTTTAAGTTATTTGAAGACAGCAGTGCAAAAAATCAACAGGTAACTTACATTAATTGCATTGCTCTTATTGGTTAGTCATGGTCATATTCCTTTATGAATTCTGTTGATGTTTGTTTGTTTCTCATTGACATTCAGATGTATTTAGTACCTCTGTGCTTGCACCATCTGTGAATGTGCCTGAGAATGCTGAAAAATTTTCCGGCACTCATGTTCAATCAAATCACTTCAAGAGGCAGAGAGAAGTAGGAATGGGTAACATAACACACAAGCGGTGTAAATATGATGCCTTGTATTTTCAGCTTTGTTTTACATGAACTGGAGACAGCAAACACCCTCTTTCACAATGTGTTATTTACTGTGAGGTTTTGTCAAATCATTCTATGAAACTGTCAATTCTACACTAAACATTCAGATCTTGTGAATAAGACAACTGAATTTTTTTAAAGGAAATGCAAAGATTTGAAAGTGAGGAAAGTTTGCATCAGTCAACATCATCAAATTCAAAGTGGCACTAAAGACATCCTATCTTCTCAGCTACCATTTAGCTAAATCAATAAAGTCGTACGCATTAGCGGAATCTCTAATTATGTCTGTTGTAAAATACATAGAAAAATTGGACCTTATACCTGCCTTGAATGATTTGTTTCATGTTGCATTCACAACATGGCAGATAGTGTAGAGTGCCAGCTGATGGATCATATGAAGAATAGTTTGTACTATACATTACAAATTGGTGAGTCAACTGATGTAGCTATATAGGCATTTGGATGAATAGAGCAAAGATCATGACAAAAGAGCATGGCAGACTTGTCATTCACATTCAAAAGATACCTGTGAAGCATATTGGATACACTGTACTATTCACTGAGAAATGTTGGTCACTAAGAAAATGCCCATGAACTTGCAAATTGCCCTCAGTGAAGTGGTCAAAATTGTCAACTTTGTAAAGTCTAGACCTGTGAATGCAAGGATATTTACTTCTATTGCAATAAAATGTATAGTGAGCATATAACATTGCTGTTGTATACAGAAGTCTATTGGCTCTCATGAGGTAAAGTGGTAATGCATATAATGGAGCTGCATGATAAGTTTTCAGAACATCCTTTGAGTTTGACCATCATCTTCCAAACTCCATTTGGATCCAAATGGTTGCATACTTGGCAGATATTTTTTTCTTATCTTAATGAATTAAATTTAGGCCTTCAAGGTAGTTCTGCCACAGGATTCAATGCACATGACAAAATTGAAGCTATGATAAAGAACTTGAATCTCTAGACAAGTTACACAGAGAAAGTGAACTTTGTGTGCTTCCCAACATTACACGGCTTTCTGTCTAGCACAGAACATGCTATATTGTCTACAGAAAGAAGAATCAGCAATTATAATTGCACTTTCATTGTAAATAATATGCCATAAGATGCATTATGGAGACAAATATAAATACAGTAGTAAAATTTTTTTGTGTGATAAGATATAAGGCAACATATATCTAGTAAAAACATGCATAAACAAGAACATGTTGATTGTCCATCATATATGTAATATATGTAAAATACTATTACAAAGTCATACTTGTAAAGTTCACTTACTTAAATTTCACTATATTCACGAAGAAAACATAGCCATTTCCATTTTTATTTTATTTTATTTTTCTTCCTGTCCCTTATGCACTAAGGCAGGGATGGGCAACCTTACCTATGTCAGGGCCACATTTCAAAACTTTTACACTGACGCAGGCCGCATACAAGAGTAAAGTGGGGGAAGTCAGTAAATCACAATTATTTATTCATATATAGCATAGGTATACTTAATTTAGCTTCTGGAACTGATATAAATGTAATATATCAAAATATTTGTTTAATATTAGTCATTGCTAGTTTTAAATTAGTTTTGATGTGACTGTTAGCTGGTTTCTTATTTTAATTTTTACTAAATTTATTGCAGAAAAACTATTCACATACATAAGTTGTAGAAAATAATGTTTGAATTTTTGCTGCATACTTCCTTAAGCTAGAAAATTGATATATTTATTAATATTTTATGCAACGCGGGCCGCAAAAAATATTACTTTGGGCCGCGGGTTGCCCATCCCTACACTAAGGGGACATTTTTATCAAGCTTTTCATGGCTTCAGCAGGTCCACAATGGGGCAGTCAGTTGGTGTGATAAGAAGCCCAACATATCCAGGATGGATCATTCACAAAAAATTTTGGGGGTTTTTTGAACTATCCAAATTTGTTCTTAGGTTCCCAGTGATAGTCTTACAACTGAACTACTCAGTTGTTCATTTTTGTTTACATTAGATTTTACAAAAAAGTTTTTCTTTTAAATTACAATTAAATTAAATTAATTAGAAGATTTATAATATAAAATAAGTATCAGGTCTAAATATACCTATGTAAAGTAAGTAAGGAAAAACTTGCCACTAACCATGATAAAGGGAATTGAAATAATGAACATTCCCACTGGACTTTCCAGTCACAAAGAAGTACCATATGCTTAATGTTTGTTAAAGTCCAAATTATATTGGGCTATATTACTACTACTATTATTAAATGCTATTGATAATGCTAACTACTAGTATTATTAATAATTATAATTAATCTGTTTCTTTGCAGACACACTAAGGTGACATATATCAACACTTGGCAACTTATTGACTATTTATTCAGTTGGGACGCCTTTTACATTACGCGTTTCGGGCATTGGCCCCTCTTCAGCCAACTAGACATAAAAAATAAAACATAAGAAAATTTGTACAAAAATACGCGAGTAGATAAACTGTTTTTTTAAAAAAATTTTTTAAAAACATACCATAAAACACAAACCACTATTGTACAGATGTCGAACAGGATGGACAATTTCATATTTCATATACAACTTGGATAACAAACAAGGTCGACGATAATCATTGGAGAACAAACAGGGTCGTAGATAGCAGCTTGACTACTGGGCTTTTAAATATGGCTTTCTTATAATTTACACAAAATTCAAATAAATAGATTGACAATTACAACATATCTTAACAATATTTGTTTTTACCTGTGGTTGATATTCGCATATTACACCGAAANTATGGAAACGTAATATTGTCACAATGTCACAGTGATAATCCAATTGATTTCAAAGTTTTTCTTCTGTCAGCAAAATTGAAGTTTTGTTCTCGATGTAGAAGGTACGCTTCAAAAAAAGAAAATGAACTCTGTCCAAGATGTTCAAGAGTATTGGAATCTTTTAAATTAAAAGCAGTTGTCTAATATTCAATAA